TGTACACGCCATGGGGGTTTACTTCGCTCTAAATTTAAGTGGTGTATTTAAAAAACAAATCTCATCAGACTGATCTGATCTCCTTCTACAACCAGGTGACATATCACCTGGACAAGGAAGAAGAGATTGATGTCATAAAACTGGACTTCAAAAAAGTCATTGATCTGGTGTCCCACGATCTCCTCTTGGAAAAATTGGCCAACTGTGGTCTTGGCTACATCGCAGTCTGATGGCTCCGAGGCTGGACTCAGAGAGTGGTGGTCAACGGCGTTCCGTGACCAGTGGTATCCCCCAAGGCTCTGTCCTTGGGCCTGTTCCCTTCAACGTCTTTATCAACGACGTGTATACTGGTGTGGACTGGCCAAGTTTGCCAATGACACCAAACTTTGGGGTACAGCATCCACACCAGAGGATAGGTTGGTAATCCAGGCTGACTTGGATAGGCTAAAAAAGTGGGCAGATACAAACCTGATGACTTTCAACACTGATAAATGTAAGGTACTCCACCTTGGGGACAAAAACTTGCAGCATGCTTATAGGCTCAGCAGTGTTGCACTCGCAAGCACCAAGGCCAAAAGGGACTTGGGGGTCACGATTGACCACAAGAGTCACCAATGCGATGTTGCAGCTGGTAAAGCAAACCAAACTCTGGCTTGCATCCACAGATGCTTCTCAAGTAAATCTCAGGATGTCATCCTCCTGCTGTACTCAGCCTTGGTGAGACCGCAGCTGGAGTACCGCATCCAATTCTGGGCTCTACAATTCAAGAAGGATGTGGAGAAGCTTGAGAGAGTCCAGAGGAGAGCCATATGCATGATCAGAAGGCAGAATAGGCCTTCTGAAGAGAGGCTGAGAGCCATGGGACTCTTCAGCCTGGAAAAGTGCAGGCTCAGGGGCAATTTGGTGGCAGCCTATAAGTACATCAGGGGTGTGCATCAGGATCTGTCGAAACGTCTGTTCACCAGAGCACCCTAAAGGGATGACAAGGTCCAACGGTCACAAACTCCTCCAAGACCGTTCCAGGCTGGACATAAAGAAAAACTTCTTTACTGTCTGAGACCCCAAGGCCTGGAATAGACTCCCTCCAGAGGTGGTGCAGGCACATACTCTGGATTCCTTTAAGAAGCGTTTGGACACTTATCTTGCTGGGATCCTTTGACCCCCCTGACTTCCTGCCCCTGGGCCAGGGGTCTGGACTTGATGATCTTTTGAGGTCCCTTCCATCCATAATATCTATGAAATATGAAATCTAAGGAGAATTAAACGGAAGTAAACCCGTGGCATGTACAAGCAGCCCTGGCCACTAGACAATAAAATGAAATTCAACAAAAGACATATGTAAGGGGCTACACAAAAGACAGAACAAAATGCAAACAAAGAATGTGGAATACATGGCTAGGCACTGGCACTCCTGAGGAGGATCTAGCGTTAGAATGGATTGCAAACTTGTCAGTAATGCAGTACTGAATCAGAAAAAGCAAGTGCTATTTTAGGCAGCATTAAGGGAAATACTGTATGCAAGACAGAACACGTTAATGCCACTCAACACGGTACTGGTTGGGCCTCAGATGGCAAACATCTCATTCTGGGTACTACATTTTAAGGATGTAGGAAACTGGAGAAGATCTAAAGACAAGAAACAGAGATGGTAAAAGGATTGGAATGCAAGCTACAGGAGGAAATGTTTAAAGAACTACTTCTTGCAAGAAAAAGATTAAGAAAGGGCATGATAGCAGTTTTCAAATATTTGAAAGGCTACCATAAAGAAGAGTAAGAACAACTATTCCTCCTTGCCACAGGGCAAGACTGAGACAACTGGTTTAAATCAGGGTCTAGCAAGCCCTGGCACATGTGCCAGAGCATGACATGTACAGGCATTTTGTTTGGCGCACATGCCTTGGGGCAAATGGCAGGGGAACCATAAGGGGCACAATCCTTGTTTTGGCAGCGCAGCCCTGGCCCCTTCCCTACTGTCCGCCCAGAGGTATGCTTGCACCCACTGCCAGCAACAAGCTGGCCAGGACTCTGCAGACCCCAGTGGAGTTGCGTACAGCTTCCCTGCTGTCTCCTGTGAGCAGCCTGGGCTCCATGGTGGGCAGTAGGAGCTTGCCTTGAGCCTGGGCCAGCTGTGGCAGGCAGACAGGAGGCTGCAAGCAGCTGCACTGGGGTAGGCAGAGGCCTGGTCCAGCTTGCTAATGGTGGTGGGTGTACGCATGCCTTGGGGTGGATGGCATGGGATGAGATGGGATGGGGCTACGCTGCCACAAAGATCTGGGCTCCTTGCCGCTCCCCTGCCATCTGCCTGAGGCATGGGTGCACCTGATGCCAGCAACAAGCCAAGCTGGAGCTCCACACACCCCAGTACATCTACTTGCAGCCTCTTGGCTGCTTGCCAGAGCCAGTCTGGGTTCTAGGCAGGCCCATGCCACTGGCCATGAACTCCAGACTGCTCACAAGAGGCAGCAAGCAACTCCACTGCAGTCCGCGGAGCCCCAGCCCAGTTCCTTGCTGGCTGGTGGGGGCACAAACCTTCAGGTGGACGGTGGGGGAAGGGCCCTAGGCTGTGCTGCCACAACAAGGACTGGGCCCCTTGCAGCTCCCCCACCATCTGCCCCTGACACACCAACATGTTACACATAGAGGATGTGGGGGTTTTGACACTCTGCCCAGAAATATTCCCAACCCTGGTCTAAACAAAAGTAAAGCATATTTATATTACGGTTCAGGAAAAAAAAAAAAAAAAAAAACAACAAAAATCTTTGAACAATGAGACTAGGACATCAGCATAGAAGGGACATCACCCTGAAGGGAAAGGTTTGTACAAGTGTTTTACTGTATTTTAATTAACAAACAAAAAACCCTTGCACTTCCCCCTCCAAAAAAAAAACAAATAAAAAAAACAGCTGGGGAAAACTGGGGTGCGCATTATATGCGAGGAAAAGGGCTCTCCACAGGTCCAGAAGTTGGGATGGGGCATAGAGCAGTGGCAACATTGCCGTGGTTCTGGAAGTCACAGCAATTAATGTTGCCACACACACTTCTTTCCCATCAAACAAATTTCTGGATCTGTGGCAAGACTTCTTTTCCAAAAGCATGCTGGAATGAGATGGCAGGTGGGGCTGGTATGCAGTCAGCCCCAGCATACTGACCCAGCAGACTCCTAAACCTGTTATGTTTGGCTTGGCATGCTAGATGGAGCTCCAGTGCACTACGCAGATACAGCACCAGTGTGCTGGACAGGCCCTGCTGCTTGCCCCAGAGCAGACATGCCAGATGGGGCCCCAGCATGGGGCCCCCAGCCCTGATACAAATTTTTTAAATTTTCTTGGGGCATTCCAAAAATAGGATGTGTGTTGTATGTGAGAAAATATGGTAACATACCCTCTCTTATGCCATGGTTTGATCCAATGAAGATTACACAAGATGTAGTTTAAGAAAGATAGTTACTTTAAAGGAAGAATGGAGGCAGGAAACAGAGCCTACGTCGCATTGCACAAGCTTGTGTCACCAAAGCTCATCCCAAGGAAAACTAAGCTTCAAGTTTATAAAAACATTCAGGCCATGTATAATCTATGGCAATGAACCCTGGGTTCTCTCATAAACCAACAAGATGCTATTAGATCATTTTGAAAAGAAGATTATACAGAAAAATCTTTGGTACAGAGTATGATTCCATAACACTAGAATGGCACACAGGAACCAATAATGAGTTGCACTAACTATACAGGGACCCAACCCTGACACAAGAAATCAGCACAATGACTACAGTGGCTGGGCCACACTGAAGGAACAGAATCAATTAGAACATTAAAGAAAGTGCTCCTCAAGGTGCTGGAGGGGAGAAGGCCACCTGGACAACCAAGACAAAGATGGCTAGATGACGTGGTGTCAGACCTACATAAATTAAATGTGGATGATTGCAGGGTGAAGGCACACTACAGCTGGGAATGAATGAAAATTGCAGAAGCAGCCAAAGGCCTCTAATGCTAAATTAATATTATTATTTTTTCTCACTGGTCAGATTCCCAAAGTGAAGAACCACATGTGACAAGCCCATTTTAACTTGCTGGGTGAGCATGGCTAATACAGAGTATTGTAGCCATGGGCCCAGAGTGGGAGAATCACAGTTCTTCCCAAAGAATACAAGCACCATGTTGTCTGAGAGGGTGCATCCAGGAAGATCATGAAGGTGAAAGAGGGGCAAGATGGTCCTTAACCAAGACATTGCAGTCAGAGATGCATCTGTCCCATAAACAGGCCCATTTCCTGGTACATCTGTCCCCATAAACTAGCACCTTGACATAACCTGTGTTGGGCACCTAACTCCTATTTGAAATCTAGCATGAAACAATTCCCATTTATGATTTTGAAAAACCTGTTTCTATGTAGAAAGATTTCTGACCTCTATATGTAGCAATTACAATTATGCAAAGCCATTTGTGTAAAAGCTGTTGCACAAAATTGCTTAACCATGCAATCTGCTTGTACCTTCCAGACTGCTAGAGTCTGAACTCCCTAATCCTCTTTTTAGAAGTTCCCAGAGCTAACATTAAAACACAGAAAATGTAAACAGGGGAGAGCACAGGGTAGGAGGCAGATACAAATTTACTTTTTATTCCTTTTGGGAAACAGATTGGGCTTTAATTAAATAGTTTTTTAGCCACCAACTAAAGATCCCTAAATGCACTACCTGAGAAAATAGATTACAAGCCAAATCATCAGCGTCTGTATGAACAGATGCAACTGATACTGTCAGCACTGCTCTCTAACATGAGTAGTTTGTCAACTTTCTCTAGCGGTAACATTCCCAACAACATATTATACGTGATTAAAATAAGAATGCTTTCTTGTGCATGGTACCCGTGACAATTCCAGATTTGCAATTTGCTTAGGGCCCTTCCAGTTGCAGGAAAGATCTTTCCTAAGACAGCCACAGAACAGCTTGGGAGTTCAAAGAGAAATGGTTTCACAGTATAAAGAAAGCAGTCAGTGAGCATGCATGTTAATCCATTATTATTTATTAGCTGTACAGCAGTATATTCTCCTTCTCAGCTTTTCAAACCCCATTACATATTTTATAACAGTTTTTTTTTCTCATGTTGGCTTCCTAAAATAATGAAAAATATCACACAGTACAGCTAAGTACAAAAATGCATCAACCTAGAGTCTGATAGCTAAACTGATAGCTCTTTTAAAAGCGATACATAGAAGAAAAATTTGTTTGAAATCAGCAAGACTGAGGCTCTATAAAAAGCTTACATATTTTAAACATGTGACGGTTCATATACAGGCATCATTTGTATTTCACATTATTCCTTTTTTTCATTAGAGATCCAAAATTTTATAATTACTGACCTAGTAAAATTTCCTGGCCCAGGTTGAGGGCTGCAGTGACCCAAATACAAAAATCACCACTTCTGTCTTAACATTGGATTCATAAACACAAAATACAACTACAAAATAGAGCAAAGAAAATGTAGTCGTGAAGGTATAACTGAAAAGAAGGGAATTATACATGTTTCAAATGCCAGTTCCACGTGCTTTGTAACCTGGTTTCACGTCTGGGTTTCTGTTGTTCAGCAAGCAAATAGTCTGGGTACTTTTCTCCTCTACATGATTGGTTGTCAACAGGTTTTCCAACATTTACACTCCACCAATTTTCTTGTCACTTCATTTGGAAGTAATTAAAATACTGGGGTTTACGGAAACTGCATTTTTCATACCTCTTAATTAATGGAAAAAAGATTAAAATGTAAAAAAAAGTTATTTACAAGCTTGACCATTACAGAAATGCTTTGCAGAAAGCAAAGCATATTAAGGACAGAAACCAGCTGGAGCATGCCAAAACTACCGTGTGCAGCCGACTTGGAGAACCGGAGCTAGTCAGTGGGGAAAAGCAAAAACAAAAACATTTTAAAAGTCTAGAACCTTCCCAAGTCTGCATTTACAGTTAAAAACACTACTGGGAGAAGGAGGCTGGAGGACTCTGGGAACTGGATGGACAAGTCCGGAGTGGTTTACCACATTACTTTAGTCTGGGCTTTTGCTTTTCCACTTTTGTATTAAAACTTGTTGCATGTAAACACTGTCCTTGGACCATCATTACAATGCAGTTCAGATCAAAAACCGAGCATCTGAGGAAACCCTCGAGGACTCCAAAATATTTCCTAATGTTCCATGATCCTGTAGTAATGCTAACATAAAACAGCAAGTTCTAGTTAAATCACATTCTAACATCATTTTGAAGTTTTATTTCCCAGTATGTTTGGTAAAATGGTCTAAAATGATGCATTTCCCAAAGCCAAGAAAAGGTAAAAGGAAAAATAGATTTGAGCCGCTTAAACACAGCCCAGGCCAGTTCAGTCAGCACGCGCGGCCTTTCCTCCATCACCGGTCCATCATGCTGAGAATCATCTCGGGAGTGAGGTCTCCATTGGGAGCTTCCACTACAGCAGGCTGAGCTTCCTCCTCTTCTCCTACTGTTTCTGCATCAGGTTCTTTCTTTACTTCAACTATAATGTTTTCAATTGCACCAGTGTTCTGGTCTTCAACCTGAATGATTGCTGTAGCTAATAGGAAAGAGAAAGAGTTCAAAATAGAGCTCACCAATCCTATAGGCAGGCTGCATGCTAGAAATGTCTAATTTCAAAGTGTCTTATAACCTTCTTCACAAAACAATTTATTACAGAATCTGAAGCTGCATCTTTTTAGAAAATCCACCTTACTCCATAAAACAGGGCCCAAAATGTCTTTGCAGTGTTTTCATACCGTCTGAACTCACTGCAAGAAAGGACAAGGGCAAGAAGAACAATGCATCTGCTGGGATGCAAAACCAGAGGTTTCTGGCTGGAGGGTCTTGCCCTCTGCTCAGGGTCAGATATTTAGAGTCAGGAAGGAATTTTACCCCATGGTCAGATTGGTACAGACTCATGGAGTTGGGGGGTGCTGCTTTTCTCCATAGCAGGGGATTTTTCCTTAGATCTCTCAGGAGTATTTTAAACAACCTTCACAGCAGCAGGACATTGGTTGCTGTAGTCCCCTTGCTTTACATGTGGCAAGGTGGGGTGTTAAGTCCTGTGGGTGTGTCAGGATTGACTGTGTAGTTTTGCTAATAGGTTAGGTAACAAATTGGTATGGGATGATTTGAATAGGGATGATCCTGCCTGAGGCAAGGGGCTAGACTAGATGACCTGTGGAGGTCCAATTCCCTATTTCTCTATGATTTTATAATAAGTCTCAATCATGGACATATGCATTCATTCCATGCCTGCCTTTTGAAGGTGTGGGTGGGAAGCAATGGAGATATATGCCATCTGCAGTGTAGACTTGTTCAACTGCTTCCTGCAGCCAAAAATCTGACCTGTCTGCCAGTCTTCCAAACAATCATGACCGTGCTCTATCCTATTTCCTTGCAGCAGCCTCTACATGCATCTGCATTACCAGAGGCAGCATCCGAGACATGGCATACATTATTTAACCAAGACTGTAGTAACTGCTTGGATGTAAGTTAACTCAACACTGCCATCTCCTAACTGATGTGAATGCACTACTATAAACCTCTACTCATACAGCAGTGATGAACACAGTGTAAACATCTAGACACCGGAACTGGACACCTTGCCAGAGTCCACCTGGGGCCTCCAGTATACTGTAGGCCAGTAGGGTAGCAGTACTTCTTGAATAGGTGAGGAGGTTCACTTGGGTTTCTAACCATAACTTCTCTTTGGATGCCATATAATATTTTTACTGCTCTTTATTCTTAAAATGTTACGGTAAGGTCTCTGCGTGTTCATATGGTGATCAGCAGGACTGTGAGAAACAGCACCGTTTCATTTTGACTTGTGTTTTGCTGTTTAAAAGGGACAGTGTTTTGTTTTGTCATTTTGTTTAGTTTCGAAGCACTGTTCCATTTTGTCAAAACTGTTTCGCTCTTTGGATGCGTTTCGATGTTTCACCTATGGGCTATAATGGGGAATCATGAAAATGCCTATAACTTTGTCATTTCATGCCTGATTTCGATGAACACTGCCTGGATGGTAGCCCCTTCTGAGGGCATGCAGCCTGCCAATTTTCAAGGAGACAGGTGCAGGGGCTTCTGGGAAGCTGCATCTCAAACTGCTACAAGCAGATCTGGTGTCACTTGCTGGCAGCAGCAGCCTCCTGTTATCCCGCCTGCAGATATGAGGGCTCCCATGCCCGGGAGGGCTGTGCTGAACTCCTCCCCGGGGTGCGGGATGACAGAAGGCTGCCGCCTGGGATGAGCACTGGGCGCAGCCCACATCCAGTGCCAGGAAGACTGGTGCTGCCACTGGCCCCAGGCCTGGTGGCGGGAGGCAGGGGAGAGCCAGGGCCAGGGCTGCGCTCCAAGTGGCTCCGCCACGGACCCTCCCTCCACCTCCTGCTGTCAGGCTGAGCTCCATGGGGCTGGTGGAGCACATAATCTGAACCATTTTATGTTGCTTTATAACCTGAATTATTATAAGGCTTTTTTTTTTTTTTAAAGCTTTTAACGTGCATTTTCCCATGGCATCTGGAAGCAGTTTACACAGATTTAAAAGCTGGGCTGTCGAAATGGTGGCCCACAGGCAACATATAGCCTACAAGGGGGTAAAGTTGTACGCCCCTCTGCTCTCACCTGGTTGGTGCTCCCCTCACTGCTCCAGCTGTAACAGCAACTAGGGTATCTGGGCTCCCTCTCCTTCCTCTGGATGTTGCTTCCTGTCCCTGGTCCCACAACCAGGGAGCTGAGGGCAAATCTGGGCTGCAGGGGTGGATCAATACCCCCAGGGGGCACCAGTGGGAGGGAGGGTACCCAGTACAATGGTGGGAGAGATGCTTGCACAGGTATGCAGAGCAACAGGAGAGGGGGACATCATGCCCACACAGTGCAGCAGTGATGGGAAGCGAGGAGAGAAGTGCAAGTGTGCCTGGTGCAGCAGTGAGAGAGGGGATGGGGTGCCCAGACAGCAGCACAGAGTGGCAGGGGGTGGGGATGTCTGAACAGCCTGGTAACTCCTGGCTCACTTCATGTGGCCTGTGACATGTGTAGCCCCTGGAGACTTAGAAGTTAAACAGCCCTGATTTAAAGTATGTTAACTTACAAAGGAAAGGCAACTTTCCTCCTCTCCTTTCTTGGTACTGGTCCCAAACAGGTCAGCTTTATAGGTTTCTCAAGAAACTCACATATAAGACTTGCAGTGTGCCCTGAAGGTGGGCAAAGGTGTCTCATTAAAAGAGTAAGAGACAGCAAACACACAGTTAAAAGTTATCAGCTCCATTAGAGTGAGTGAAAACCCTTCATTAAGGAGACATCCAAGAAGCTTATTAACCTGGATGCCTAGTTTGGAGCTCAGGCAGCAACTTACGCTGGGGCTGCTTTGGTTGGTTGGCTTTGCCTGGTGGCCTTCCTCTTCGTTTCTTAGCAGGAGGCGGTGCAGGGGCCACTTGCTCCACTTCTGGTTCAGCCTCAATTTCTACTGCCGTCTCCTCCTCTTCTTCATTGTCATCCAGATCTGGCTCAGCATTTTCTTCTTTTAAAAATAGAAAATAAATGAAGTAAGTTTTCAGTTTATATAGAAGCAAAATATCAACAAAGTCTCCCTATGGAGAGAAAGAACAACACTCTTCTTCATTCTGAGACAGAATCACCTCCCTACAGTCATCCTTGGAGAGTAAATATTGATGGTAGAGAAGGCAAACAGAAGTACTAGGGGTGAGGAGTTTAAGGCAGGCATTCTCAATACTGGGATATTCTCATCTTGGAAGGCTGGAAACATCATCTAGCAAAGCAGGAAAAAGAAGGTCTGACCCCATGTCCAGTAGTGACAATTACTGCTGTCACCATGAAACATTTTTCCAACTGAAGGGAAGAGCAGGGCTTGATTCAAATGCAGAGATGGCTGTCAATGGGAATCTTCACTAGTTACCATGCTCCATTTGCAAATGGAGGGCTGGGAGAGACCTAGGGAAGTCTCCTCTAGACCCCCCTTCCTCCCCCGAGGCACTGTGGTTGAGAACTTTCTTATGCTTTGAGTCTAAAGCAGCAATTCCCAACCAGTGCGCTGCAGTCTTTTTCAGGGTATGCCACAGGGTGTAACCATCTATGCAATTCACAAGATAAACCCAGAGATTTCAAATAGGAATCCACAGTATCAAAAACATTCTGACCTGCTGTGGTCTGAGTTCTTTGCAACAAAAATGGGGCACACGAGGGCATACTGCAGGGGGCACCCAGTGTGACACACAAGCCTCCAGCCCCTCAGAAGCTGGGCAGCCCTCTGTTAAATTAACTATACTTCCAATAAAGTGTGTACTAGTGCATTACAGTTTTTGATAAATATCTGTATCTACACAAGTTGAAGAGCATATTATTCTGGGATTTTGCTCTTTAGGTAGCACAATAAATACTTAAGACCTCACTTAATTCAATAGTAAAATCTACCTTTGAAAAACTATCTTTCAAAAGCTTGATTTAAAAACTCTATTTCATTCAATTAAGAAAAAAATTGGGATATTTTGAGTACGTTAGTTATGGAAAAATTCAGAGTGCAGTGGTAAGTTTGATTATTAACAACAACTTCCAAAACCTGCTTTAGGTCCTGGAAAAGTTTATAAATTAAGTTAATGCCTTAAAACCCTGGCATACATTACACTTAAAACATGATTAACCAGTTAATCTCATCCTAAGCGTAACCTGACCACGTGTTCAGGCATAAATGACAACAAAACACGCAACTTGCCACATAATTATTACACCTTTTTGTGTAATAATGTTGTGCCTGGTTTCCATCATGGCTTGAAATGAACAAGAGGCAGAACAGACCACACCAGGGTCTCCAACTGGTCCCAGTAGTTCCCAACAGCAGACAATCTGCTAACTGTCAACTGAATCTGGGACTACAACAGGGCTTGAATGGATGCTGACAATCAGCTGATCACTGGCAGTATGGGACTGTACTAGGGCATGAGCCCCAGTGCAGTCCTTGCCAACTGCTGATCAGCTGATTGTTGGCAGCACTGGGGCAGCCCTGATGGTGCCAACATTCAGCTGATCATTGGCAGGACAGGGACTTGCCATCACAGCATTCTTGTGAGAAGGGTCCCTGAAAAGAGACATGCATGTGGGATTTGGAGGTGGTATGACAGCAAATCTGGTGGCATAGCCACTGGAGAAATGTTTCCAAGCCCTAATAGTCTGCGGTTATCCTGCTCTATGAATCTCAAAAGGTAGGACAGGCTATTTGAAAGAAGGGTCACGTGGGATTACCATAGCTCTCAACCACAACAAAAGCTTTGTATGTTGGATGACTTACAACGAGGGGAAGACTGGAAAACTGGAAGACTGCTTATGCTTGGAAAGCTCTGTCTTTTCCTAGGAAGCTCTGTAGGGTGGATTTGGCTGATGGAGGTATTACAATATATGCAGGAGGCATTGATGGAAGGTGCCTTTGGCTAGTGACATAGTGCAGGCACTGATTGCTGGGGCACTTGCAGCATCTCAGCCAGGTTACTGAGGGGGACAGAGGTAGGAAATGCACACCAGCTCTTCCATCTCCTGGGAGCAAGGCTATGTTGAAGCCCATTCTGCAAGTATTGCCAAGGCAAAAAGTCTCTAGTTTAAGACTCAGGGGCCGAGCCTTCTCTTCTCCCCTCAGTGAGAAAGTAGGTGAACAATTACTCAAATGGAGAACTGGTCATATTCAAGGAACTTGTGAAAATAAAATAGCGCTACACTGCTTGTATGGAACAAAGATTTAGTACATTTTCTAAGCAAACTTGTGCAAATTCTTAAGCAAAATTGAGTGGCTAGTATGGAAAGCAGGAGACAGGTTCTACCTGGTGAGTGACCTTCTGCAAGTCACAAACCTCACTCCACGCTTGTTTTGTTTCAATAATTCTATGCCTGGGCACCAGGACACACTGGTCTTCACTGAGACCTCCATGTACTACGCATAAAATGAAATTCTAAAAATGACTTAAGGCAATGAATATTTCCAAATCACTGTACCTCATCTCCAAGGGCCAAAAGCCCTCACATCATATACCACAAAGAGGGATTAAGAGCCACATTAGCTCAGAGGTCACTACAAGTTTGACTGTTAATTCACAACAATACAGAGCAATATCACTCCTTACTCATATACACAGTAAAGAATTACCCCTCCTGCTGACAGTCAGAAAAATCCATCTACTGTACAAGGAAATTAAAACTGTATCTACTACATCCACTCCCCTAAAATTAATAATAAAACTCTGTTCTCCAGAAAGAAGGCTCAACATACACCTTTGCCCCAACCACTATACCAACTGGCCATAGATGCCAGTATTCCATAATAGTGAGGGCCTACTAAGATCAGTGCAGAACATGTCATGTTAGAACTTCAGTCAGCAATATTAAAAGTTATTCACTTAATACCAAATTTTCAGGTGAAATGAAGCACATACACAGTAATTAAAATATAAACTTTCAGTGAAGACAGATCTTGATTAGTGAAGAATCAGTAGGAAGAATATGGTTAATTATAAGCCACACAAAATTCTTGGTACATTTAACCTGTTCAGTAAGCAGAGCTCTTACCACTGTCAGATGAATCTTCCTTCTTAGATCGCATCTTTCTTTTTCTTCCACGTTTACCCTTCTTATTCGGCTCCCCTCCATTCTCTCCTTCTGCACCATCTGGGCCAGAACAGTTATCAGAATGTCTAGCCATGGTGTTCTAGTGAGGGGAAAGAAGAGTACTAAAAATCAAAACCGGGTAAGCAGGCCTCTATTCAGAACCCAAGCAGTACTTCTCAAAACTCACTCCTCTTTATAAAGAAGATTTATCTAACATCCAGAAAACAAGCTGAACTCCTGGGTCTTATTTTGGCTTTTGTCCTAATGTCTCTTCAGTTTGCTTATAACATTACTGCTGTAAAGAATGCACTCAAGATGATTATGAGGGATGTCCAGGTCTCTCTCAAACATGGCCTTACCACTTACTGTTTTACAGAACCATCTCTCTCTCCCTATAGAGGTCAATAAAAAAAAACAAACAAAAAAAACCATGCTCTACTTGCTTACCCTGCGAGTGAATGTTTTACCACACTTCGAACAGACAAAGGCAGCAGGGACAAAGTTGGGGTCATGGTAACGTTTGAAGTGCATATCAAGGAGCTGTTTCTGACGGAAGGTTTTATCACAATGGCTACAGGCATAAGGCTTTTCTCCAGTATGGGTACGTTTGTGCATGATCATGTGCCGCTCCTGTTATTAAAGAACACACACATTCAGAAGAATAAACAAGATGCACAGCAACAATGATCTAAGCTGATGTTTATGAATGTAAAAAGTTCACAGTTTTTTTTTACTGAGGAATAGCACTAACATTTTAGTCTAGAAGCATTATCCCAATGCTGGCATCCTCTTTACATTCTATTTGTCCTGAACCAAGCATATTCTTTTTGTCTTCTAAAGAAGACAGCTTATAGTGCGCCTCTTTCTGGAGGTTACAACATATCAAGAGCCACTGAACCTTCTCTTAACCTTAAACAGATTACAATCATTGGCATTAAATGCGACTAGCTACCAAAGTTAGTAGCTCCCTGTAGCAGGGGCTGGGGAAGAGGCACCTGGTGGGGCTTGGACAAGCGGTGCTGTCCCGACCCACTGGGCACAAGCTCTGTAAAAGGAAAAAAAAAGAAAAAAAATTTACCCAGCCAGGTCCAGGGCACTATGTCACCCAGCAAGCTAAGGGAAACTGCTAGGAGGCTTAGCTCTCCACCAGCAGAGGTGGAGCAAGCTGTGCTGCCGCGGTGCTCTTGGGGAGCTCCGGGGAAGGGAACTTGCCTGACAGGAGCCGGCTTGCCACACACCTGGCCCAAGGAGCATGTGCCCCAAGGGCCTGTACTGATTGGCCCGAGAGAGAGAGAGAGAGAGAGAAAATTACGCTCTCAGGAAAGAGGGCGGAAAGGACACCAATGGCATCTAGCCTTGCAGGGTCCTGGATTTCCTTTGTGTTGTTAGGTAGCAATCCCGAGTTAGAGAAGTATAGCAAGGGGAAAAGCCTGATCCCCCTGTACATCTGAGTTTTGATTAATCCAGCCCAAGAGTCCACGCCTGAGACCCAGCAGCACTGGAATGTGAATCCTGGGACTGGCAAGCAGAGACTCCGTTTCTCCTGGACCCACTGATCCCAGAGAGAAGGAAGACTACTGCAAGCAGGGTACAGACATTTGAGGAGGAGCAACCTGCCTAGAGGGCATGGCCACGACCTCCCACAAAGGCCACAGCCAACCGGGTCGGAGAGGATCCAAGAACCAGTGACTTGTACTCGATACCAGCAGGAAGAGACGACTTGTCACCCGAGAGGAAAAGGGCAGGGTGTGGGGGTGGTACAGCCCTGCAGAAGACCGATCTCACCCGTACGATCATCACTCAAGATACCAGCTAAGCTCCTGAGAACTAACTTCACAAAGACATGGTAAGCGAGAGGGAGGAAGAATGAGGTAGTCCCCAAGATTTCAATGCGACAAGGAGCAACAGTTAAGCCCACTTGCTCATGCTCCCCATCTAACATCCCGATTTCTAGCTCATAGTTTGTTGTGCCATTCACTCTGTTCAAAGTTAACTGCTCATGCAGCCATTGTGATTTTTCAGGAGTCACCTAGGCTTACCTGTCTGCATGCATAATCACACTGGTCACACTTGAAACGTTTCTCATTCTTGTGAGACTTTTGATGCTGGATGAGAGCATATCGCTCATGGAACACAGCGTCACAGTAGCGACATTTCTTGCCCTGCTCAATGTAGGAATGCTGCTTTCGCAAATGGACACCTAGTATCACAAGAAAAAGTTTTTAACCTATTATTTTCCATACTTGAAAAAGACTGGTAGAGACAATTCCTTAACTATTTTCTCAGGAGAGCATGGTTTCTTCATATCATTTGGTTTGAAGCCAAAAGTCTCTACTTTATTGCTTTGGAGTTATTTGGAAAAGTATCATGCTCCATGATTAAAGACATCCTTCTACAGTCTCTCTTCCTACTCATGAAAAAGATCTATTTCCATTCTAGAGCAAAGTCTAATTTGTTGGGAAAGCCCAAGGTACTAACATCTGACTAAATATATTTTAATTAAGTCACAAAAACTATTTAATAAGACAACAAGGAGTTAAATTCCAAAGCAGAGGGAGTCTGTGTATATAAAGTGAACAAGACAAGACTGCTAGAGCTTCAGGCCAGATTTTGGCTTTGGTGGATCCTTTGTTTTAACTTTTAGCTTTGACCCTTTCATTCTCTTTGCCAGTAAAATGAAACATAGAAAAAAGAACTACACATAAAAAGATGTTTTAAAGAAGAAAATAATATAAACTGTAAAGTGAACTAGATAGATTATTTGGGTATTATTGTTGCTATAGACCAGGGGTTTTCAACCTTTTTTAATAAGTGTACCCCTGAGGAGGGGGGGGGGGGGGGGGGGAGGGGAGGTGGGGAACAGCCAGACAGAGAGAGGGGGCATGGCGAGCATCTGTGCAGTCTTGCTCTTGCCCTGCCCCGGCCCTGCTCCTGTGAGGCAGCAGCACAGGGTGGCAGCGTTCTGTCCCCACTTACCCCCATGTGCCCCCCCCCCACCGGGACCTTTCAAAGTACCCCCAGGGGTATGCGTACTCCTGCTTGACAACCCCTGCTATAGACCAAGACTTCATGATTATTGTCAGAACCACATATCACAGGGCACAATGAATGTTAACTGCCTTCAGTTATCGAACTTCTTCTAAAAAAGATTACCAATATGAACAAAGGGATGTGGAGAAGACAGTTCATGGCTCCAAATTAGTTCCTGGGGTGGCATATTTTTCCTTTTAGATTTATTGAGCCAGATTATTTTTCTCAGTTAGGTAGAAATAAACTATTTTTTTTTATGACTAAGTGACCAAGGAGTAGCTAATGCTACACTTGTAGGCATGAATTGGGAACAACTCATTAACAGTCCCATTTGAAATGTCCTTCTAGTTTGACAAAGTATTCCAAGCATGGCTTCTCAACTATTATGCAGCTATCTGATATCTAGGTGGGTCCACAATGATACCCTAAAAAAACAAAAAACAAATCACACCTACTGCTTTCTCCTTATACAGAAGGCCAGGTAGGCTAACAAAGGAATCAGACTGTCAAGAATGAATTATTTTAAAATACCAGCCACTGTCTTGGAAGGAGTTAAGGGGCCCATACTACTTAATAGTCTCAACATGAACTTTCAGTAAAATGTTTTGACAAGAAGAGTGAATGTAATCTTCGTGTGTATAAAGATGACTATCAAGTACAAGGAGACATTATCTTGCCTCTGTACACAACACTGCAAGACCACTGGTGTCCAGACTTCAAAAACTAATATGTAAATACTGGTGTGTTCAAAGGAGTCACAAAAATGATCCATAGGCTGAAAAAAAAGCCTTATAGTATGAGGCTAAAGGAGCTCAACATAATAGAGTTTATGGAAGAGAAGACAGAGGTACTGCAGTCACTGTATAAAACAACAGATAGAATAAAAACAAATAGACACCCCTCCCCCCCAACCTGATCCTGGAAATCTTTCCAAATTTGTTGACAAAGGTATAAAAATATCCTATGACTGCAAAATGAGACTCAAGGGGTAGATTTACAGATGTAAAAAACCCCAAACCAAACCAAACTAGAACAAAACAGCGCTTTAATGGAAGAGGAAGCATATTAGTTTGACCCAGCTTCCCAGCTTCGGTATAGGTCAGGCACTTTTATCTAACAGCTGATTCAATTAGCTATTGGATAAAAGCACCAAAAAATAGAGCTG